CCTCCAGGGCCGTCCCTACGTGCGTACACGGTCCCTGGTGGATTCCGTCCCACCCACCACCTCCCGCCTCAGCAAAGCCCTTTATAGAATGGCATTGCTCAACGCCTGGCATTCCTCACCCCGCCCAAGTCACACGGTGCCCTAACCACTCAGCCCTGCCCCCGGGACCCCGTCAGCTGACACCCCGTGAGGTCCTCCCTCCTGAAAATCAGCTCCCTTCAGGAACTGACCCTGCCCGGGCCGGTGTGGCTCAGTAGGTAGCGCGTCGGCCTGCAGACTGAAGGGTCCCGGGTTCGATTCCGGCCAAGGGCATGTACCTGGGTTGCAGGCACATCCCCAGTGGGGGGTGTGCAGGAGGCAGCTGATCGACGTTTCTCTCTCATCCATGTTTCTCTCTATCCCTCTCCCTTCCTCTCTGTAAAAAATCAATAAAATATATTTAAAAAAGAAAACCAAAAACTGACCCAGCCTCGATCTGTCACCGTGAGCCGTGGTGTTTGCTGCCCCCCGAGTTCAGACTTAGGACCAATGGAAGGAGAGGTGCCCCACCCCTGGGCGCTTTCCCGCAAATCCAGGGCCTGGAAAGGGACCCCCGGTCTGTGCGGAATCCCCTGGAATTCCTGTGTGTCCCCCTGCAGATCCGCGCCCGCCCCCCAGTTTGCAGATCTCTGCTGTACAGAATCTAGATCTCGCTCTGGGGGGGTCACAGACCCGTCCCGGAAACCTGGGGGGGAACGCACGTCCCCCCAACTCCTGCCCCGGGGCGGGCGTCAGAGGGAGGTCCGCGGACTGGGTCCCAGCGGGTCTCAGAGGGGGCCCAGACCGGCGTTGGGAGCAGGTGGAATTGGGGGACCCCCGGCTGAGCTGGCGGCTGGCGTGCCTTGGCCACGGGGGTGGGGGGGCGGTTAAAAGCAACACGTGGGTGTGAAAACCCGGGCGATGGGAGGTCAGTGGGGGAGTAGCCAGGGAAAGCCCAGCCCCACCTACATCCATAGCCACAGCCTGAGACGGAGGGAAGAAGGGTTCTGGGGCGGGGATGGGGGGAGAAGGGGGGAGACTGCCTGGGGACGGCCTAGAACAGGGGTCCTCCATCTGGCCTGCTGCCTGAATTTATCCATTTTTACAGTTTTTTTAAATATATTTTATTGATTTCTTACAGAGAGGAAGGGCGAGGGATAGTTAGAAACATCGATCAGCTGCCTCCTGCACACCCCCCACCGGGGATGTGCCCGCAACCCAGGTCCATGCCCTTGACCGGAATCGAACCCGGGACCCTCCAGTCCGCAGGCCGACGCTCTATCCACTGAGCCACACCGGTCAGGGCCTGAGGATATATTTCCATTGATTTAAAGGGAGAGTGGAAGGGGGGGGGAGAGAGAGAGAGAGAGACAGAGAGAGAGAAACATCGATGTGAGAGAGACACATCCATTGGTTGCCTCCCGGTCAGCCCCCACGACCAGGGCTAGGGATGGAGCCTGCCACCGAGGTCCGTGCCCTGGCCCGGAATCGAACCCGGACCCTTCAGTCCATGGGCTGACCGACACGCTATCCACTGAGCCACACTGACCGGGGCCTGTTTTTATCGTTTTGAACGGCTTGGTGGGGGAGGTGGGATTAGAGTCTGTGGTCCCTGGAAATCGGTGTGGAATTCCGACTCCGGGGCCCGTAAGCGATGGTTTGTGGAGGCAGGACCTCACGCGTGTGCGCCCGGCCGGTGGCTGAGTTAAGTGGCTGCCACGGAGGCTGAACACATGGCCCACAAACCCCCCAATATTTACCCTCTGGCCTGGCACAGGGAAGCCCAGCCCTGGAGTTGGGGGGGTCCCTGGGCCACGCTCCCAGGGCCTGGCATAGCCCTGGGAGTGGGGATGGGGGGCAGCTGGGTCCAAGTTTGCAAACTTGGGGTCTTTCTTGTAGGAAGGGGGGTCGGGGGGAGGAAGGCAGGGTCCTAGGCAGGCCAGGCCCAG